TTGGGTGCTTTTGGTTTTTTGTTTTCACTTTTTTTGTTTTGCACAATATTGAAAACGTGTTTGATATGATATTTTTGAATATGCACTCTCACAAATAAAGACATTATAACACAAAATTCAAATGCATTTTTGACATTTCGAGTGTTTTTGACGAAAATTCTAAAAACACTCAAAATATGGAAAATAAACATTTAAATAAAATTTTAGCTTTAAATTTTTTTTTACAAATATAATAAAATTGACAACTTCTAAAAATGAAAAAAAAAATTTAAAAATCTAAGATTCTAAAACAAAAAAAATTTAAAAAAATATATAAAATTCTTAATAATAAAAATTTCTAGAAAAATAAAAATAGTTTAAGCTCTTAATAATTATTTACATAAAATACTAAAAAAATATTTAAATGAATAAAGATAAAAATATTCTCAACCCCACATCATTTTTACTTTTATTTCCTATATTTTGAACTCAATTTATTGTTTATTTTACTTTTATAGTGAGAAATGATATCGTAAGATTCACAAATATATATATATATATATATAATTGTTCTATCTTTGCCGAATAATCAAATTTCATAAAATAGAATGCCATAAAATAATTTTTTATAATTTCAAATCAAACGCATTTTTAATAAACGTAAACAATACCCTCAAAACAAAAACGGAAAAAAAAAAGAAAAAATTGAAAATGAAGTCAATATTGAAAACTAAAAAATCAAATATAAACCAAAGGAGTGCTTGATTTTTAGCTATACCAAATATATTAACAAGGCTATAAACTCAGAATTTTAGGATTTGGAGGTTGATAAGAGCATGTTCTTTTTACCATTTTCAAGTCGTTTTCTATTTTCAATTTTTCAAAATAGTGAAATTGCGTTCTCTTTCCTATTTTCGAAAACGCTTTTTTGAAAATAAGTTTAAAATTTACAAAGAAAACCCAAACTTGACCAAAATTTTCAAAACGCATTTCATTGTTTTCAACCACCGCTAACCATTACCGCGCCCGACCACCACTGCACCATCGCGACCACCACTATACCACCGCCCAAATCGCCACCAAAAAGACCCCCACCACCCCAGTGAAAATCGTGACCCAACCATTGGAAAATCGTTACTAGAAAGACCCCCACTACCACAGTTAAAATCGCGACCTAACCACCGAAAAATCGCCACCAGAAATACTGCCACAGCCACAACCATGACCTAACCACCGCAAAATCACCACCCCCACCACTCCAGTGAAAATCGTGACCCAACCATTGGAAAATCACCACTAGAAAGACCCCCACCGCCACAGTTAAAATCGCAACCTAACCACCGAAAAATCGCCACCAAAAATACCCACATCGCCACAGCCATGACCTAACCACCACAAAATCACCACCAGAAAGACCCCCACCGCCTAGCCAAAATCGCGACCCAAATAGCGTAAAATCGCTACCGAAAGACCCCCACAGCAAAAAATTGCAACCCAACCACCGCAACGTTGCTACCCAACCACCGCCACAGCCACCATCGCACCCAAACCAACCATCGCCAGTGAAGAAGGAGGGAAAAAAGAGAGAAGGGAGGGAAAGAAGAAGAAAGAGAGACACAAGAGAGGAGGAGGAGGGCGGGGGCGGGGGAGAGATGAGGAGAAGAAGAGAACACGTTTTTCATTTTCTAATTTTTGAAAAAAAAATACAAAGAGAACAACCCCTAAATATTTTGAATGGTTTTGTTAGTTGTCTATCAAAAGATTGGAGAACAAAATGCAATTTTCTTAAGATTTCAAGGAAAATACTACTTGGATCACATGTTTTATCATTTCATTTACTGAATGCAGATGTGGCAAGATTTCACAAACTAGTTTAACTTTGTTTTTGTGTAAAATGATGTGAGATCTTGCCACCACCTGTACATTCTATAAATCAGGTGGTACAAGTAGCATTTCCCAAATTTTAGCCCCTTGTTTGATAACCATTATCATTTTATTTTTTTTTGGAAAATAATGAATTTTGAAATAATGATTTTTTTTTTTTTTGAAAATATGCGATTAAAAATTAGAAAAAATTTAGGTTTACGTGTAGAATAATTTATTTTGAGAATATGTGGTTAAAAATAAATTACTTTTAACCGTTGTCAAACATGGGCTTAATTAAATCACCCAACTTTTTAGGTTGTGCCCCTTGCATCCAATTTTGGACGTGTCCTGTTTATTTTACACAAATCTTTTAATAGTAAAATCTACAAATAATTTAAAATCTTGTCTCTATGGTCGAGGCTTACGCCTCATTTATATTATTTGACATTCTAACTCAAAAAATTGTGAGTACCTAAGCAACATTGATTAACATTGACGTGTCGTTTTAACTTTAAATCGTTATACGCCATAAAAAATTAACATTTAGCATTGTTATTGGCTTAAAAGTTCACGTACAATTTGTGCTTTTTACGTGTCATTAAACATTGGTCAGTATTGTAAAGTAAGATATTTTTCAGAATTTTTCTTTAAAAAAAAAAGAATCTTCTCACCCTATATTGGCCGCATAATAAGTGTATTCAAAATTAAGCAACGTCCGTTCGATGCGATTCTCCGAATTACATTTTCTTGCAGCTAAGTGAAAGATATAATTAACCTTATGGTTGATGACATTCCTATCTCGTGTGTATTTCGTTCCTGTATCACTGTAAAATTGTATTATCTTGAAATAAATTGATCCACCTAAACATAGCCAATTTGGACTTTGAAGATCATACACTATTATGCATAAATCACCCTAGCACAACTTCAAATCATTTTGAAAAAAAATGAGTGATTTGTGTATAAATTTTGTAATTAGACAATGAATCATAACATGAATAGAATAAGTTAAATAACAAATTAATATAATTAGAGAATAGAATAAAAAAGCAAACATTAGGAAGTTATGTCGAGAACGTTGTCCTATATTCTTGTTGCCCCCCTTCGTGCGAGTCCTTTTATGCGCACGAGATTACGAAGAGATCCAAAACAATCCTTTGTCAAGTTGTCAAAATAGTACGAATATAGATTAAAAAGCATATCGACAGCCATTATTGTAGAAAAAAAAAGTTCTGAACAGTAATTTTTAGTAAAATGTGTAATTAAAAAGTAGAAAAATATTTTTGGTATACATGTATAATATTTTATTGTGTAAATTTGTGAATGAAAATGATCATGTAGCAAACCATAAAATAAAGTAATGAATGTCAAATAGACACAATATTGTATAGAGAATAATCTTTTATGTTGTGTGTCAATCTATAAAAATTCACTCTCTTTTATAGTGGAGATTCAACCCTCATATATAATAATGAAAATAAATTCAATTTAGCCTATATTTGATTCCCCCCCTTTTTTTCAAAATATATTTTTCTCTCTTCTTTTGAACCACTCACAATAAAATAATATTACGAACAACCCCAAAACTTTTATTTTACTTTTAACTACACATTCTTTATCAATATATTATTCCAAAATGTATTCTATACCAAAAATAAGGCTCAAACATGTCCTAAATATAAGTTACAATACATATTTTGAGTTTTGAACCTTGTTTGATACCCATTTTTTTCAAAATATATTTTTACTTTTTTGTTTTAAATGACACATTTTTCAATAAAAAAAATATTACACACAATTTAAAAAAATTTCTTCATTTAACCACATATTCTCGATTAATATATTATTTCAAAATGCATTCTATGGAGCTTAAACATGCCCTTAATTTTTTTTTTTTAATCGAAAATTAAAATAAAAAATATAAACTTTCCTTCGTAGTACACTACTTCAAGGGAATTTGAATTTCTACTGCCTCTTTTAAAAAGAAATGTCCTAAATCACTAGACGATGGATGTCGAGTAAATATTTCTCTAACCGTGATTAAACAAACCAACATTTCATCAAATTTTAGTTTGAAAAATCACAACTTTTATTCTTAAGTTACAACAAGTGTACCATTCCCAATTCACAAATCCAACTCCCTTCAATTTTTCCGTGAACAAAATCGCACTAATTGGACCGATCACCATAAATTATGCAGAATCATTTAATTTATATTTATTGTGCTACATTGTCCCGAGTCTGCACAAATGTTTAAAAGAATCTCTTTTATACTTCATTTACAAAGATAAAGATAAATGGTTAAATTCATCAATGTTTATCCAACTCTATACTTATTTTTATCATTGTCACTCAATTTGAGTTTATTTTATCATGACCATTCAACTTTATACTTAGCGCGTCTGATGCAGATTTTTGTCCACTAAAATGGCTTTTCTGCCCGTTATTTTCAAAAGTGACAAACAATTTTTGGCTACATGTGAGGTGGGACCCGCCAACCATTGGTAACGGTCAAAAAAAGGCTGAAAATGAAAACATTCAACTACACCAGACAAGGCCTTAGTATCACCATGACTACTTAATCTGATTTCACTATAATCATTCAATTTCATATAACATTTCACCATGATCACTCAATTTCATATAACGTTTCATTATAGTCACTCAACTTCTTTTCACCATTTTCAATGATTTTAAAAGGGGTAAAATAATAATTTTGTATTATATATAAAATAAACTTGAAAAAAAATAGAAGGTTTTTTTTAATTACTTTTATTTTAATATAAGTTTTTACTTTATTTTATTTTTTTAAGTAATGATTTTTAAATAAGTTTTTATTTTATTTTTTAAGGGTTTTTCTAAATAACTTTTTATTTTCGTTTCTTTTTCTAATTAACTTTTTTAAAATAAATTTTTATTCATTTAATTTTCAATTGAATTCATTTTCCATTGAAATTTTCTATAAGCAAACTAATTGACTGTAAATTTAACATTGTCACGAGTTTCTAATATAATTTTTTATATATTTAATTTATTCAAAATATAAGTTTTATTTTCTCCAAAATATTGCTCTCTTAACATAACACTGGCAGGATTTATAATTCAACACGTTTACTTGAAATTTTCCATTCGACCGAGAATTGTACAGATTTTCGATGACGGCAAGTGCGAGCCTTTCGGGAAGATTCAGCAAAGATAACATCAACAGCAATGGCACTGCGAATGGCGCCACCAGCATTGACGGCGCAGTGCCGGAAAACGCTGTGGCTACCTTCAATCCCAACTTCGGTGCCTCCCTCGATTGGTCCCCAGACGAACAGTCCATACTTGAAGATTTGCTCTCCAAGTCAGCCCACATCCCAATTCTTTGTGCGTGCAATTGTTGTGTGTGCCTTTATTTGCTGTATTTATGGAAAAGAATATATGCACTGTATATGTTTTTGGAAATATGTAGAATTTTCTCATTTTTTTCTTTAACTCTAATTGTTCCTTAATAAATTTTGACAATAGTTCTTTGTTGAATATCTGGTGAATCCATTATTTATGGAAATTCATGGTCATAAAATTATATTAGTTCCATATGTATCATCTATTAGATAACATGATTTTAGCTAGCCAACAACTAAATACATTATGTGGTCCAATTATGATTAGGATGATCTCAAACCTTGGGCTACATTGCCTATGAACATAAAGTTCCTAAATTTAAGCTGCGGCACTTTAAAACAGATTATGATTAAGCTATAGGGAAATTCATAGCATTCACTGGCTCCGTGCATATTGATTCTACAAGTTCGGTCTTCAAATTTGTGTTTAGATCTTTCACCTTTATATTCCTTCAAGAAGATCTGATCAAAATTTTACGTATCTATTTTGAACGTATACATACATGCATGGGGAGGTTTTAAACGTGTCTATGAATTCGTATGCATGTACATACATTTTTGTGCAAAACTATTAGGCGTAGCTTGCGAACTCTACAATGCAAGAAGTGTCGCACTGATGCCAATATCCATAGTCTGGTTTTCTACTTGACTGACATAGTTTTCACAACCGTTGGCATTAAATCCCAGGTTTGATTCCACTATCAGTATAAGCAAATTATAACTGACTTGATAGAATCAAGTAAGCCATTTGTGCTTGCATGTAGGGCAGAGGAGAGCAGCAGCAGCGGCAACTTTTCAAAAATCCAGCTGTAAGCATAACAAAACTCACATCCATGTGGACCAAAAATGACTCCAACAGCACCTTTCACAGCAGAGGATCTGATAGCCAAAAGATGCTACCTGTAATTCATTAAAATAGGAAATATGAACAACTAATAAAAAATTTAGCCGAGATAATATGCATGAATGGTGCAAATATCCAACTTTCCAGTCAGATTTTTTGTACAGAAATATTGGAATTCCACTCAATTAATGTAACCATCGGGTATTCTTTATACATTTAGTAACATCCTAAAGGGATATGATAAGAGTCATATACCTTTTTAAGACGTGTATTATATTTTTAGATGGGACACTTATTGTTATTTGATTTCATGGGGTTGTTTCAATCTGAGCAATGATTCCTTGAATCCTTCCAACTGTGCCGAGGGTGTTAATTAGTTGGGTTTTGATGTATTGTGGATTTTTTACGTGACATTTAGATGGATTTTACTTCTCATGGGTTTTTTGGTTGGAGAATCTTTTATAGGAGTTATCATGTTTTGCCTAAGGTTCTATGTTTTTTCTTTCCTTAAGAAGGTAGAGGTAAGGGTAAAAAATACGAAAGATGTGGGGTGGTGGATAAATCCTATATTTTATTTTCTTTGTTATTTCTCTGAATGTCATATATCATTACACACAAAAAGAGTTATTATCGGGGGGCTTTTTAGCTAACTTCTTAAAACTAGCAACCTGCTTCTTTACTCGACTAATCGAATGCATACGAATATTTTATTGCAATAGTCCTCATTTTTTCCCCTTTATAAAAATAATTTTAATTATTGATCGCAATCTCTCGTCAGTTAAATTATTTTCAGACAGATTCTACTTTTTCAAAGTAACACGCAACCTATTCAATTCACTTAACTTCAAATTTGGGAATACAAAATCCCAAAAACACTCTAGAGCAAATTGATTAAGATTTGGATCATAGATGGCGGCGACTGGGAATCCTTCCGATGGTCATGGAAACAATTTTGATAATTACAAGACTCATGAACAACTGGATGCAATCTGCGCCACCAGTAATGGCCCACCGGTTCCTGATAACTCCTTGGAGGGTCCTTCTCAGGTTGCCCTCAGTTATAACTCTGACCTCTCCGTCAAATGGTCTAGCGACGAACAATACATCCTTGAAGATTTGCTCTCCAAGTCAGCCAATTCTTTTTCTAAATTGAATCATATTTATCTGTTGTTGACTGAAATTATGTTATATATTTATATAATAATATGAAATGTGCATGTGTCGGTTTTTGTAAAAGTTCTGGTTTTCAGTTCTGGAAATTCATTGAATTCTTGGGATTAGAATTTACTTTATTTTGTGTCTTTTTGTCTGAGAAATGTTTCTGATGGTGGAATCCCGTGGATTGGACACATTCAATATGGAATTGTATGTCTTGGAAAATTAATTTGCAACGGAACTGTATTTTTTTGTTCAAGAAGATTGAAATTTTAGGACTGAGGAATGATGTAGTCCAATAAAATGTGATTGCAGATCCATAAGCTTCATTTATAGTACTTGCAGCACATTTTCAGTAAACATTTGGGAAAAATGAGATGGAGAATTTAGAGGATCAGTTTAAAGTAAGATTAACTTTTTTGTTTTGCCTTCTGGAGATCAAATTATCATTTGAACAAAATCAATATAAAATAATTGCTCTCGCTTTTCAACTTCAGAAAATATCAAATGCACATATGGGTCTCAGCTGAATTTTATGAACTAAAAAGGAAATGGGAAACAAATCAAGATTTTACATTACGATATCACTGGGATCATGACAGCGGATATCCAAGACTTGTAAATAATGCCGACATTCCTGAGATGGAACGTTCTTTCATAATGCAAGAATGTTTTGAGTTAAACTAGAAATGTTCCAGTTCAGTTCAATTCATTAACCTTTAGTACTTTACCTCTCATCTCCAATCAGTTTTGGAAGGCATTGGTCTTTGTGAAACCAATCCAGCAATCTGAATTCTCGTACTATATATTACTTTTGACATATTCAGTGCCAATTTAGATTGGTTGTTTGTAGTGTCTCTGTATGGAATTGTTTCTGTGTTGCATCTTGCTGCTCAAGCAGGGAACGATACACTTTGATCTGATAAAACAATGTAACTTTTGCAGATACACCTCAGATACTATCATAGTTCAATATGCTAAAATTGCTCAGCAGTTAAATGATAAGACAGTTCGTGATGTGGCATTGCGCTGCAAATGGATGACTGTGAGCTCTTCGTTTTCGGTTCTTTTCTTCTTATGATTTCTGGTTTGATTACATACAACTCTGTCTCTTTTTTATATAGACAGTTCGTGATGTTCCATATAATATGCATGCATATCCACAAGGTGTTTAGATGTCGATAGTCTGTAAAGCTTGGTAGGTGGTCATATATCTTTTTTCTTTTTGTTCTATGACATTTTAATAGACTAATGCTACGTAGCCCAACTCATGATTTAACATGAGTCTACGTTGTCATACTTCGTAGGTCCAATTAAATGTGGTTCCCATAACCCCACATTTAATTGAACTTATCTTTTAATACCATGTATTGCTTCATAGACTGTGTTAAACATCAGTGGGCTACATAGCATTTGGCCCAGCTATTATAATGAGCAACATAATCTCAGAAGAAGCAATGAATTTCTGATATCAGATTCTAAATTCAACTCTAGATCAAGAATAACTAATAACAAGGTTCTTTCTCATTGGTCAGTGATGCTAACATGTAAAGAAGACTATCTGCAAAATTAGAACTTATGTCTCCATATTTTCAAAAATGTTCCTTCTTGTAAATACCACCAGGAATATTGTGAAGGTCTATGGCGGCTTGTTCCACAGGCAAGGCTGTCTTTCTTCAATGGAATCAAATCTGTCAATTTAAGTCCTGTCCCCTGGATGAAAGTAAATGGGTTCCAGCAATGGCAAAGCAGTTCCTGCACCCAAATTTCTTTTCATTGAAAGTTTTTACATATTTAGAAATGCACCATCAGGACATTTGAAGACTATGACCCTGTTTGATGCACATTATTGAGTGGAGAATTGCATTTTAAATAGTGATTTGATGGAAAATATGTGGTTAAAAAAAAAGGAAAAATTTTGGATTTGCATGTAATTTTATTTTATTGAAAAATGTGTGGTTGAAATAAGTTTTGAAAAAATGATAAGAATGTGGATCAAACAGGGTGTATATATATTTTGGCTTTTCATTTTTTGAATAAACTTGTACTGATAATGCAAAATTTCAAAACACTTTGTGAGACACACATTTAAGGAATCACTGACATGTACAAAAATAACAAGGAAAAAGGAACAGACTCATCAGATGCACACAGGCAGACACTTGATTAGGGATATAGAAAATACAAATACTTACATGCTAGTTCTTGAAATATTGGGCAAGAAGTACTTGTAAGTAAATTGTAATGTTTAAAGTTCGGCAACAACAGTAGTTTTAGTGTGTTGATTCAATTATTGGTTTTTCATGGAACTTGGTGATAGTGGCAATGAATTTCCAACTCCAAGTAAAGGACGCTTAGCTGGCGTGAGATTGTATGTGAAAAAATATATTCTGTGATTTCAGTTATATAACGTGGAATCATCTCGTGTTTTGATTTTCACACATTCAAAGTAATGAAATGTATTATAGATGGTGAAAGTGATTGACGAGATATATATTTAGTATTCTTGGAAAAGGGAGAGACAAAACTGAGAGAGAAATGATTAGAAGCAAATTTGATCATTGAGAATAAGTAATTTGCATAGTAGGGGTGCCAACAAGCAGAGCCATGAGCCGAAACTTGAAGCTTGAGCAAAAATGGTTCGAGCTTTTTTTGTCCCGAGCCGAGCAAAAGTTCAACCAAAATACGAAAGCTTCGGCTAGGGCCTTAGGGGGCCCGAGCCGGCTCCTTTTTTTCTTGATAAATCTAATTTTTTAATAATTTAAAATTTGTGCAATTATATAGGCGTGAATTTAAAAACTATTTAATTTTTTTTTTTTTTAATAAAGCTCGGCTCGACAGGCAGAAATGGCCCGTGACAAGGGCCCACGGCTGGCTCGGCTCGAGCCGATGCCCCAAAATGGGGCTCGGGGCTTGGGCTTTTACCGGGCCGCCCGAGCCAGCGAGCCTTTTTGACATTCCTATTTTACAATAAGAGCTAGAAAGCCTCGAATGAAGTTAATAGGAATCCCACTCTTTGGTTTTTTTATTATGTGCCTGTTTGTCAACCATTATTGAGAAGAAAATGGTATAATGAATAGTATTTTTGGGAAAATGTGTGGTTGAAATTGAAAGAAATTTTATCGGTTTATGTATAGAATATTTTATTATTTGAATGTGTGGTAGAGATTGATTACTGTAGAAAACAATTTTTTGAAAAATGGTAGGCAAACAGGGGCTCTATCTTTTCAGTTAACCCATAGCAATTCTGACACAATCTGTTTGCTGTTTCACAGAAGAAGGAATATGGAAAGCGAAGGAAAGATGATCAAAATTCATTGAGGAAAAATAAAGACAAAAAGGTAGTTAATTATCGCATTCAATCATCTTTCCCTGTTGTTTGTGTGTATACTACGAGTCACTTCTTTCTTTTTTTCCTATGTCTTCTGCCGTTTAACTAATTCTCCAATGGACATCTTTACTACACAATGTATACGTTTGTAGCCATGCACAGGCTGGCATAGCTCTTAATAGCAAAGTTTCTAGTGTCAAAAGAGATGAACTCTCAGTTTCTGCTGTAAAGAAACAACAATTAAGAAAAACAAATATCTTACTTTGTTTCTGTTTAGCTAGATGTACTCTTAGAAGTAACAAGCAATCAGGGTCGTACATATGTTGTTATGGACTATAGGAACCCTCTGAAGCCGCAAATCATAAAGAGAAAGCTAAAGAAGAATCTCATTATATAGTGGGCCTTGCTATTTCCTGTAAAAGAGTAATTGCTGGTAGGGCATTTAATATAAATGTTAATAATGCTCTTAAATAATACTAGTTTATAGCTGCATCTGTTACGTGGTACAACAGATTATGGTGTATTGCAAGGTCAATCTCAATGGTCAATTGGCTACTTTATTTTTGGAATCTTAATGAAATGTTTTGTTTGTGAATAGAAGGAAGTTGTAATCCGAGTGTTTCACATTAAACTAATCATAATCAGTTTGGATAATGCAAGCCAGATTGAACCAGAGTAATGGATGTTTAATCAATGCAAGGCATGGTACTTGGAAAACTACATGTTTTCTATCATACCCAAGGGGCCTGTTTGGACCTCTTTTTATCCATTTTTGGGTCTAGCTATGGATCTGATTGCAGATTGGATATTGTTAATTTTTGATTTCGGGCCAGCGGTGCCCTTGAGCTACTGATATGATGCAAACATTGTTTTGTTTATATCAGTATGGTATATACCCAAGGGGCCTGTTTGGACCTCTTTTTATCCATTTTGGGTCTAGCCATGGATCTGATTGCAGATTGGATATTGTTAATTTTTGATTTCAGGCCAGCAGTGCCCTTGAGCTAGTGATATGATGCAAATATTGTTTTGTTTAGATCCGTATGGTATTCAATTTTGTAGTTGTCAAATTGCGAATGCCTCCCCTTCTCTATTTTTGATTACATATTAGCAAAAGTGATCATGGAAAATAAATCCATCGTATAAAAAAGAGCAGCAGGCGCCTGCAGCATCAATATTTCAAACTGCTGTTAGTCTAGCTTTCTGTTGTATCACCTAATAGTCCTAATGCTCGGAATGGTTTCAAGCTTGTGCTATTGGTCATTTCTGTTTTTATTTACTTCAGAAGACATTACCTTTCAATAATTTATATCATTGATTTTTGAGATTCTCAGGAAAAAGCTAATGCTTTTTTGCCAAGATCTTCTCAAGTTGCAACCCATGCTCAGCCAGTGCTGTCAAACGACAATGATGATGGAATCTCATACAAAGGTAGCCCTCTCTCTCTTGATTACAAAGAAAGGAAATCATATATTTGCAAGGAATGACCAGGGGCTTGTTTACCATTTTACTTAGTTCCTCTGTCTAGTCATCCCACGTGTGTCAACTCAGAATCTTGTTTTATTTTTGTTTTTGTTTTTGTTTAAGCATCCCAAGATTATGATTTCTAAATATCAAGAATTTATTTCTCTCACAACATCTATAAAAGTTTGCAACTCCCTCTTCACAACCGATTGGAATAATGATATTTATATTAGGGTAATTAGCATAAAATTGCAGGCTTGATTTCATGTTAAGCTTTGTATTTTACAAGTGATCCTCCCTGCTTTCTTGCAAATTGCCCCTCTTTATAGTTGAGGTTTAGGTGATTAATAACATTTCGTTTATGCTGTGAATGACCTTTTGAGGGGAAGTGGATGTTCAACATGGAAATTTCGCATGCTTGGGTCAATTTTATCATTTTTCATAATGTTATCTTGATTAGATCCCTATTAGAAGTTTGTGAAAGAATAGAGGGCATTTATGAGATTAAAATCAATGAAGAGGAATTACCTCCCCTCTCTACCTGTGAGATTATTGGCCAAGGCCATTGACGTCATATCCATTTTTCCTTTTACTTTTCATGGATCAGTTCCTTGGTTATATATTTGATGGGTCTATAAAATTTGTTAATTGCAGACATTAGTGGAGCAACTGGACAGCTTCTTGAACAAAATGCTCAAGCCTTCGATCAAATTTCTGCAAACTTTGCTGCTCTCAAGGTAATCTGCAGTTCTCTATATTTAATTTTTGAACCACTGAAAGAAATTTTACCAAGCAAAAGTATGTAGAGTGCTATTATGTGCTTCTACCTAATGACTACTTAACACAAGAAAACCCGTATATTCTTCTTCCATCAGTTGCTGATAGATGTCCGAGCTGCTATTCAAATATTCATTGCTCTACTGGTAGCAGAATAATTTATTTTGGTAATTTACTTGGCTCGATGTATTTCAACAGAAATTTTGGACTGATAAGTACATTGATAGAGCAGTTGTCCATTCCGAGATTAATTTATATAGAAAGAGGGTTAATGTTGTGTGCTTGGATGTCCAAACAAACCCGATCTATGTCATTTTTAGTGAAGATTAAAGAATTCCAGACTATGCATATATTAGATGTTGCAGCATGGAGATTAATGTGTACAACTACTTAGGTTCTTTCAGGTTAGGACGACACCCAGAAAAAGAAGGTCAGTAGGATTATTTGATTTTCTGACTGAGGAAATAAAGAGATTCTACTATAATATGGGTATATCAGACTATAAAACCCATTTTCTGTCCAGGAACTGTGTATATTGGATCTCTAACTAGGGTTCTATTTCGTTGTATGCATTACCATCTGCTCTACAAACTAAATGCCTAGGCCAAACAGATACACCCAAGTTAAAATCACTTTGATTTATTGGCTTCATTTGCAGCATGGCAGCAAAGCATCATTTCTAGCGGTGACTCGATGATATTGACGTATTTTTCTTGTTCTACTTCATGCAGATACATGAGAACATCAACCTCTTCTGCCGAACTCGAAACAATATTCTAACTATGTTAAATGAGTACGTCTGCACTCTGCTCTTATGCGTTGTGTTTTTGTTGGACATCTCTTTTGGTCTCTTGGTCGTTAGCAAAGAATAGATGCACTAATTTCGTGCTTGTACAAAATACTTTCTCACCTTTGCTGCAGCTCATTACCATTATCTTTTCATTTTATTCAAGTACTACTTTGGTCGTTCCTGATTGTTTGCCTGTTTTCAATAGACGCGAGACTAATTTCTTTCTTCATTCTTAATTTTATTTATTTTGTTTTGGTGACCAAGAATTGTAGCCGAAGTTCACGAAGGGGTTTGCCACTTTATTCTTTTCTCCAGACAATGGAAGATTTTCAAATGGCCAGCCAGATTTCCCCTTGTGTGTATATATATATATATATATTATTTTCTTTCCCAATATTAAAATCACATATGGTGGCATATTTTATTATTATCATAAAATAGGAGTACAACCTTGGGGGGGTGGGGTATGCGCCTATGCCTAACCTCTAGCTACTGAAAAAAGACAACAAACTTACCCTGTTTCTGTTTCTTACTTTCCTTCTTTGTCTGGGATTCGTTTTTTTTCTTGGTACTCTTTAGTAGAGAACACGTGAACAACTAATTGAGGAAGGTAACTCATAAATGACAAATAACTGAAGGTCCTTTAGCAGCCGTCTTAATTTTTGGGTCTGTATGTGATAGTTTATGCGAAAATGAATGAACATAGCCTATACTTTGCATTTGAAAGTAGAAATCATTTGTACTCATCAACACCCCCATCAAACACACAAATCAATAGTAAGCACATTGAGATCAAGTCGTTGATACTGTTGTCTTGTAAATGTTTATATTTATATTCCAGTATGCTTGCAGAGATCTTGAATTATACCTATCATTTATCTTTGCTCTCTCATCAATATGAAGATATACATGGTACACGTTTAGATGGTAACAGATCATAACAAAGATTATGCCAATTATAGGATTGAGGCAAAGAAGGCAGCAGTCCCAAAGCAGATGCCACCATTTCCTGTGAAACTGAATGAAGAGCTTGCTAATTCCATTCTTCATCAAACATCTATGCGGATGCCGATGCCAAATCAATCTTGAGAGGTTCTCCTTCCTTTGGACAGTAATGATGCTTCTGACTGCTTAACTTTAGTTGGCACCTTTTACATATACATGTATAGCGAAATAAACTGCCTAGGTAGTCCGGTCAGAGTCGAACTTCCTATGAACTGTTTACATTTTTAAGAGCCTTTTTATATTTTATTTCGTTGGGTAAAACGGTTATTAGTTCTGTACATAATTGTCAGGTAAAAGTAAGTTGGGAGGTTTTACTATTTACTTGCATGGCCGCAGATACCATGTTATCTTTTATATTTTTGAATTTCTTTTGGTTGATTGGTATATGTAGAATGTATTTTGCTCCAATAATCTATATTAGCTGAAAATTTAGTATCAGGCGAATATTCCTAAATTAAATCAATTATTTTTTATGCAAATAATATAAAAATTAATTTCGTTTACAAGATGCTAGATCATCATCAACAAAAATGAAAAAGTTGCAGGTATTGTTATTCAGAGAATTGTCAATCATTCCACACTGGAATAATTCCTTGAGCAGCCAAACGCTTTTCAACCCAGAATACAACATGTTTGGCTGTTGGTTTCTTCTCATCAACTAGAAATGGCTCAACAGTGCTCACTTCTGTCCCATACGAAGACAGAGAGAAACCTTTGGGACCTGTCACCAGAAAACTACGGAGTTTAACAAGCAATACATGGTTTAATTTATAAATATTAGACATACCTGTGAGATTTCCATCAGGGAAAAATGCCCAAAATGAGTAAGGGTTGGCCTTCTTAAGAAATGAACCTTCCAACTGTTCATATAATTTCATTCAAGAAGTACAAATCAGCAAAATACTGGGTTTTATTGTCCTTTCTCGTTGAAGACGTAGTGCCTCTTTAAAAGTCAAAAAAAGCTTTTTCTATGAAGTACTGGTTTAATGCGTCGCTAGAACAAAAGGAGGGGGTGATTTCAAAGGAGGTGGTTTAATGCGTCACTAGAGCTGACCTTGTTATCATTAAAAGATAGTTCGAGTTTCGAGATATCATCTTGAGCTTGTAGAGTGGCTTTGAGTGTAGGGATAACATCCTCTTCCATCAACTCAGGCAGAGCCTTGGCTGGAACTTTGGCTGCAGCTTTTGGCTTTGGCTTCGAGGATGCTGTTTCTTCAGCTGGCTTCTCCTCCCTTTTCTCCTTTGTTTCAGCATCAACTAGTTTTACCGTTATAAATATATGGAAGATAAGGCCACTTCTATTTTGAAAAACAAAATCTATTTGTAACATTACTGGTACATTATTTCACAGATTCATTAAGAAACCACCTGCGGATGTAGGTGATTCTTGAACTGCCAAGCAGGCTATATTTCGCTGCCTTGGATTGACTAGTTTAATTGCCTGTTTCACATAGACAAAAGTTTCTTTCATATTCAAATTTGACATTGTCGCACACCATATTAGGGTGTTTTTACGCGAAAAAGGAGAAAATGTGTACACAGGGTGTGCAAATTCATGGCTACCAGCAACTATCCAAGAATTGGAATGTGAGAATCGCGAGTTCATACTCTCAAACTTGTACGTTCGAGAGTCAAGCTAGTTAATTACATTAATAGAGTTCCTCCTCAATTGCCACTCGATGCTAATAGATTACTAGAGAAAAAAAGTAACATGGAAAGCTGAGTGTGTATGTGCATATATGCAAAATTAGTTGTGAATACCCGTGGAAGGCTGGAGCGCGGCCTGGATTTATGGCTGAATGAAGAAGAAGATGGAAAGCTCGAAACAGCAATGGATCCTCCAGTCGAAGCAGCCATTCCTGTGAACTCTGATTTATAAAAATAAAGCTCAATCAAGCATTTCTTTTTAATGGTTGAGATTTTTTTTCTTTTTGAGTCTTAACAGAGAGGAAGCTTTATCGTCCACACGCTGGTTGGTGGTTGCAACTGATTTTTCAAGTTGGAAGTATCAATGTCAAGCGAACAATACATAACTAAGAGGTTTAGCTCTTGTTTGGCCCCCATTAAATTACATTACATTACATTAAATTTTTCTCTTTTTCATTTCAACCACACATTCATTAAATAAAATAATATTACACACAAATCAAAGAAATTTCAACCACACATTCTCTAATCAATCAATATTCTAAAAATTTTCAACCCACAAAAATGCAAAATAATGGGGGCCAAACAGGGGCTTAGTTTTACCAATCTCAAAATTAAGAACCTAAATTTAAAATTTAAAATTTCAGATATTTTTAAATTTTATTTATATATTTTATTAATTAAATATATCAAAGTCACAATTCCATATAATTTGGTTACAAATTCCATATAATTGGTCACATATTATTAATTGGTCACAAATCACAATTATCATATGTCACAAATTATTTTATGGTCATAATTCAAAAATTTTATAGGTCACAATTTGCTCATCGATAACAAATCAAAAATTTATCCGTCACAATTTAATCATCGATCACAAATCTATCAATTTAATTAGTCACATATTATATTTCGGTCACAAACAGAAATTTCATGTTACAAATTATTTTACGGTCACAAATTACAAATATTATAAGTCACAACTTAATAAACAGTCATAAATTGTTAAATGATCGTTCACAAATTAAATTTTTTTTAGGTCACACATTATTTTTTGGTCACAATTTATCATTTTCATTGGTCACATATTGTTTATTGGTCATAAATTAACCAATTTAATGGTCACAATCAACAAAATAATTTGTAACAACAACTAATACTTGTGACCACCACCGCACCACTCCCTCCAACAGCACCACAGCTGCTTTCGTAGAAAGAAACGCCACCACCACCTCCCGATGCAACACAACAACCTCAAACCAGGGGTGGACCTAGGGGGTCTTGGGGGGCAAGTACCCCCCAACTTTTGAGATTTTTTGTTTTATAAAATCATGTTTGATATTGATTAAAATCTAAATTTTAATTTAAATCAAAGTTAACAATTTATTTTAATAATATATTTCATAGAATCCATAATAGTTTAACTTTTATCAAAATTTATTAAAAATTTGATTTTAATCTCCACCAAATATGGGCAAAATCATAATAAATTTGAATTTCGATAACATGGTAATTTTAAAAATTCTCCAACGATTGTACACTAATCGAATCTACAAATTGTTTATGTCATCTCAAAACTTATTTCGAAAACTACATTATGGATATATCGAATAATCCAAACAAATATCGAAAATAGTTAAAAATACGTTAAACGTAAGTCTTAAAAAAAGACGTTTAACTCGTATTTTTTTTAAAAAATTCAATTATTTCATTAACATTTAA